TGGCCACCCTAGGGGTGGCTGCTGGGCCATCTTCACTGCTGGTGAGATCACAGTGTCCTGCCTGGAGCTCCAGGCTCCTCACCCCCGGGGCTAGGACAAGGATGGAAGAAGGAGCCCCCAGTGGGTAGTGGGAAGGCCAGTGTAGATGCCCAGGTCACTGTCCCCTTCCCAGGAGCTCCTCCTTGTGCCTCGAGGTCCTGCTGTGAAAAGATGTGGCTCATAAGCCTCCGGAGTCCTCACCTCTGCTTGACCTTTGTCCAAATGCGAAAATTCCAGATGTGTAACATTTGTGTCTTTACTTTTTAAAAACATTACATGTATATTTGTGTRTGAGGGGCCCTGGGTGTGGTGGCACATGCCTGTATTCCCAGTGTGACTTAGGAGGCTGAGGCAGGAGTTTGAGTCCAGCCTCGGCAACTTAGCAAGACTATCTCAAAATAAAAAATAAAAAGGGCTGGGGATGTAGCTTAGTGATGGAGCGCCCCTGAATTCAGTCCTTAGCATGGAAAAAAACAATTCTGGATGCAAATCACTTCTGAAATGCATCAGGCCTTGTCTGTCCCCCGCACAGAGGTTTTGGAACATGCCTTCATCGCCCCTGATGACCTGGAATTGTTCTAAAGGACACTGTCCTGGCTTGAGCTGCCTGGCTCCTGCAGGGTATCCCAGTGCTTCCTTGAACAGCCTGACTAGGCCCTCAGGAAACACCTAGAATGCAGTTTGGCCTCTGCTCTCAGCCTGTGAGAGTGCTTTTCTGTGGTCTTGCCAGCCCGTGGACTCATGGGGGCTGGAAGGAGAGGCTCCCTGCAGAGGAAGGGAAGACACAGCACGCGTTCTATAATTCATAGGGCCTSGAGGCTGGCCCCTCCTCGGTGTAAGCAGAGACGGCCAGTGGGCAGTGGACTGTGAGCTGGGTCAGAGATCTTCTGTCCTTTTCCTTGGTCTTTGGCTAGCAGCTGCTTTTGCTTAGGGTCTGGGGCTTCCTTTCTCCCCYGTGGCCTTATTTTATCCCCCAGGGGCTGGGTGGGAGCCAGAGACCAGATGGAGGGCAGCTTCTACCAAACTGTGAAGGGGACTCCAGGCCAGGGTTCTGCATCCTGGATAACCCAGGCTGTGGCAGTCTTGCTTGTCAGRCGGTGGCAGCAACATTGATAGGTGTAGGTGAGCCACACACAACTGACRGAACAGCACCAACATCGCTGGGCTTTTCTACATCTTCCAGTCCAAGTGTCTGAAACCCACGAAGGGTTTCCAGTCCGATCAGCAGTGATCATGGCAAACAGACAAGGACCAATGGAGCCACAGGTGGTCACGCTGGAAGTGACCTTAGTGGCCATTTACTCCAACCCCCTGGCTCAGATGAAGTGACTGAGGCACAGGCAAGAGAATGACCTATCAAAGGTCAGAGCCACATCAGAGACAGAGCGAGGAGTATCTGTGTCCTGCAAGCCCCAGCCCAGGGCAGAACCTTGCATCTGCCCGCCTGCCTCTGCCCTTCCCTGCTGCGGTCCGACGTGTTTTAATTGCTACATCTTTCCTTCGTATGCCCTGGGGTAATTTAATAAAGGGTACAACTGTGACATTCAAACAAAGCACACACAGTTTAAAGTTATTTTTTTTTCTGATTAAAATCCTTCTGGTGAAAGAGGAAAATAAAATTGTGAAAAAGAGAAGCACAGAAAAAAAAAAGGAAGGAAGAATGGAAGAAAGAGGGAAGAAAAGAAAGAGAAAAAGGAAGAAAGGAATGATAAGGTCAGCCACTTCACACCTAAGCCCTGGTGGGATTTGAACCAAATCAAAGCCGTCAGCTGCGGAGGGTCACAGGGGAGAGACCCAGGAGGAGCTCAGCCTGCAGCCTGGCTGCTCCATGGGGAAGTGTCCACGGTGGCTAGCACAGTGCCCCTGGCAGATGAGCTGGACAGGCCAACAGRTGAGAGGGTGCAGGTGGGAGCCTGGCGCAGCCAGAGTAAGAACACGCAGTGGTCAGCAGCAACGTGGAGACACGACGCACATCATCCAAAGAGATGAGCAAAGGGGCCAAACGGTGGTCTGAATACCACTGACGCCTGAGGCTGGAGACCCCAGGAAGGGCTGAACACAGACGGGGAACAACGGGTCAGATGATGGGTTTGCAGTCTTATTTCTTGGGGGTCAGGAGATGAAGGGACACAGAAGCCAAAGCCATCCCTGTGCTCTCCCCCAGTGAGTGGTGCCCTCCTGAGGAGCCAGGAAGTCTGGGGTCAAGGAAAAGGGAGGTGGTGGGTGTGGGGGAGCTGCTGAAAAAATCCACCTCCCTCCCAGGAGCAGCGCCCACCTGGGAGCCCCAGAGCTGCCCGCAGCACCTCAGGAACACACTGCTCTCTTTGTTTGGGGGCAGAATTGTGTTTGGGGCTGATGAAGCAGGCGATGAGTGGGCCTCTCTCAGCAGACACAACCAAGCCAGCCATCCTGGAAAAGTCCCGGAGTGAGCTTCTTGTCACCCATGGTTCTCGGGGTCTGGCGAAAGTCTGAATTCCAGGGGTGGGGCGAAGCAGGGGACGCGACTTCCCAAGCTCTCGCTCTGAACCAGGGCCCCACAGCCTGGGACGTTTCCCTGGCCTGGTGACTGCAGTCCCTCCGGGAGGAGGCAGCCCTTTTCAGTTTCAAAATGCAGGTGGTATTTTAAAAGACCTCACCACATTAAAATGCATGTTAAAACAAACCATTCAGTGGCGGCCTCTGGATGGGGCTTGCTGGGAGGGTGGTGGTGGTGGTCTTCTTGTTCCTGAGAGGGACGTGGGTTACAAAGGCCTGCACTAGTCCCTGCAAAACTGGTTGAACCCTAAGACTGGTTGTATGCCTAAGACCCGGACGCTTCGTTGTACAGGAGTTATGTTAAAAACGCTACTAGAGAGAAGCTTCAGGCAGTCAGCGCTGGTGAAGAATGCCCGATCAATTGCCTTTCCAGATAAGGACAGCAACAGTTTAAAATGCAAAACATTTTCCGTTTTACTAGTTTGAAAGAAAACTTAGATACTATAGCACTTTAAAGCTTCAGTAAATAAAGAACACTCAATTATTTTAAACTCTTTAAACCTGAACGTCAGTGATTGGACTGAGTGATAAATGGATCAAGCATTTTAACCCAGAAGTCCTGCCCTGGGTGCCCACACTGCAGAGCCATGGCCCTGGTTGTCTATGGCTGTCTCCATTCCCCACCCAGAGGATCTGCCTGTGTCCACACCACCTTCAGCGGTGGCWACAGTTAGGTTGGATTCAACTTGGATGAGCCCCTACTACACCCTGCTGCAGCACACGGTCTAGCAAGGAACAGACCCTGAGATCCCAATCTRAACGGGGAGAAGCTGGCCTGAAAGACCGTGCTGGGAAGAGCTGGAGATTTCTGACTTGACCATCGGCCACTCAGAATCTCCAAGTGACTCCTTTGTCCCAGATCTTCACCATGACCCAGTTCATCCCAGGACTGCCGCCCCAAACGACTGCAGGAAGCAATTTCAGCTCATCAGGACGCTCATCAGCTCTCCCCAGGCTGGCCACCGCTCTCACAGACAGCACGCCGGGGCCTGGAGACGCCGCTCGGCAGACAAACAGATGCTATTTCCACTTCTGTTCTCATTAAACAGTAGCAGAATCATGATTTATCAAAATATTCAAATCTTGAAAAGCATGGCAAAGTGCAACCTCGTGAACTGAACTTGAAAAAGCGACTCACTCCATGTGCATGATTTGAAATCCCGATTATTTTATTTTTTTAATTGAAGAGCATGTGAAGTTGGGAAAAGCAACCAGGTTTTAAGAGGCTTCTTCTTCTTCTTCTTCTTCTTTTTTTTTTTTTTTTAGAAAAACTAAACTATGTTTCCAAATTCATGTCCAGTTTATTTTATTTTTAAAACTAAACCTAGACATCAACTTTCAAAGCATCCAATAAGTTTTTAAATTAGAGAAAATTGTGTTTAAAGTGGCTTCTGAGTCACAGTCATTGTCCAGCACCTAAGTATTCCTGTTGCTGTCAGAGAGCCTGTTTCCCCACCTGTCTGCTGGGGGAGGGCAGCCGGTTGGTGGTCAAGGGGTCTCTGTGTATTGAGGACGGTTTTCCTAACATTAGTCCTGATTGTCAAAACCACAAAAGTAGGATCTAATAAAATGAAACTGGTGGGCAGCACAAATTCGTGAGATTTAAACACAACAAGGTTATACCAAATTAAGTGAAAGCGTGGCAGTCAAATGTTCTCCAGGGCTCTGATCATTTACCTGTTTTTTTTTTTTTTCCCTCCCCATTTTTTTTTTTGGTTTGACTCTCGAAGATCCCTCTGTACTCTTTCCAGACTTCTGAAGTCCTCTGCTTGTCTCATGTTTCTCCTTTCCCACAAAGCCCTGCTGGACTCCCTGCCTCTGCTTACCTTTGCTAAGAACACACCACCCTGTGCCCTTTCTTGACCTAGCGACCTTCCTTGACCCTGTCCCCTTCCCCGGGGATGCTCTGAAAACCTCACTCCTCTGTCCCTCCCTGGCCATGCTGAGAATTGTTGGAAGAGCCTTCCCTTCAAGGCAGGGAGATTCTCGGTCACTGTAACCTGGCTCGGGGAGGGCTCGGGACCTGCTGTCCAAGTGGGCAAGTATTCCCAGGTGCATGGGGAGTGTCGTTTAAACCAATGACTCTTGCAGTGCTAAACCCAAGGCAAATGAACTTCAACRCACTGATAACCTGTCTACCCTAGCAAAAGTGAACACCTCCTGCTCATGTGTTCCCCCATCTCAGTGGACAAGGAGTCTATTTCCTGAGAATGAGCCTCAAGGATTAAAGTTCAAGAACCCAAAGCACTGCAAAGATCCTCACAAACACCGTGATGGCTGTGCGGTCCTCACCCCCGCTCTCATCCCCCAGGAGTCAAAGGGCCTGGAGACTCTGGATCTCAGAGTCGTATCTGACTTCTCCAGGACTGGGGACAGGCAAGCTGCTTTAAGCTCCCAGGGGCTGAGGTTCTGTTTTTCTCTTCCAGGCTCTGACTTGCTCCAACCGCCTCTCTCTTTCCTGGCATCCTTGCCCAACTCCCAGAAAGAAGTTTGATTGCTCAGATGGGATGGAGATTATGGTTACCCAGAGCCAGGATACCTCCTCCAGCCCCTGAACACCCAGCCATTGCTTGGGTCTGCCAGCTCTGAAGTAAGAGAATAAATATACATCCCAGTCGTCTTGACTTCCATCAAAAGGAGAAAGGCATTTTCAAAGGAATTTAATAAACATCAARTTGCCCCAGTTTGCCCACTTCCTGTGAGTGGTGGCCAGGGGCCCCACAATTCCCTCCCAATCATCCCATGGAAGGGAGTCAGAGGGCACGTTCAATATGCTACTCTCCAGCTACAAGAAACCCCACCACACTGGGCTGGAGTGAGCCTATAGCAGCAAGAAATGGAATGGAAAGTGGGTAGCCAGGCAGGGTGTCAGTGAATATGTCCCCCAAATCCAAAAATAATAAAACCTTGCGAAACCATTTCCTTGGGCAGTTGCAGTAGAGGAAACCTCATGCTGCAGGAGAGAAAAGGGCTTTGGGGGAACCCTGGTGTGACCTCCTCCTAAGTCTAATGCAATTCTCACAAGCACTAAAGGGAACATGCTTGGTCGCAGGGACTTCTGTAGGCATTCAGCCCATTCAGTCTGATTTTCAGGATAATTTCTCTCTGAGAGTTCTGTATGCTCTGTCACTTTGAGCAATAGAAAGGGACAAAATGAAAGATCTAGAGTCTTGGGAGGCACAGAGCAGGCTCACTCGGGCTCTGCCTGGAGTCTTCTAGGGTTATTCCGCTTAATACAACACCTACTAGCCAATGTGACTGTTTCAATTAAAATTAATTTAACTTAAATGGCATTAAAAATTTACTTCCCCAGTCACATGAGCCACATCCTAAGCACTCGATAGCACTTGACAGCACAGTATAGGACATCTCCATTACTGAGGAGGTTCTGGGCTGTGGACAGGGCTGTTCCATGACAGGGCTGTTCCAGGATGTCTCTGACCTTTCTGAATTTCCCAACGGAGGAGGCACTGAGCAAACCAGGTATTGGCCAGAGCAGGGCCAAGTCCTTCCACTTTGCTCTCCAACTGTGTAGCCCTTCCTGAGCCCTAGAGGAGGGGCCTCCTCTGCACCAGGGGAYTTAGCCCCAACTTGCTGCTTTGCAGGGCAGGCAGGGGAAGCACCAGGCAGGGAGATATACGGTTGCCCAATTCCAGACGTTCTGGTTTTCGTGGAAATTCTGGCCTCCTTAACCCAGGGATGACTTTTGCATCCCAAAACCAACCAACCAACCTATCCTKCTCAGTGTTTGAGAACCCACAGGATCTTGATCACTATCAGTGTGTAATTTTTATATTGAATACTAGAAATTTGCTACGAGAGTAGATTTTAGGTGTTTTTAACACACACACACACTCACACTCGCACAAAGGGTAATTATGTGAGATGATGGATATGTTAGTTGACTTGACTACAATAACCCTTTCACTACGTACACATACCATATACCTGTAAAGTTAAAAAAAAAAATCCTGGGATTCTGGCCTGAAATCCTGAGTTCTGGACCAATCTTTGTCCCAGAATGCTCTTCATTCAGTGCTCCAGCATGCAGGCACCTCCATGGTTGGCTCCCTAGATCTCAGTGCAGAGCAAACAACCCACTAGTAACTACCTTGTGCTCTCAGCTCAGGGTCCCCTCATGTCATCTGCACAGCCTCAGCCTTTGTCCAGCCTCTTTCTTGGCCCACAGTTTCCTTCTCCACAGAGTTTCAGGCTACATGTCTGTAGGACCCAGCAGAAGGTGCTCTGGGGCCAGGGAACCTTCCCTGACTGCCCAGCCCTCCATGCCTCTCCCTTCACAGCCCCTACAGCACCTGACTGGTCCTATCAGGTGATTCCTGTTTACCTCTGTAACCTGGGCACACAGGAGGCTCATCACAGGTGAGGGATTAATGCTGGACACCCCACAGCCTGTGGACCTGGAAACGCTCTGGGGGTCACGGTAGAGGGAGCTCAAGCTCTCTGCTTCATCCAAGGGGCAGGGCTGGGTAACTGCTGGCTCCAGGAAATCTGGCTCCCTCCCTAGTCCTAGTAAGTCACCTCCCTAGTAAGAGGTGACTTACTTTCATCTTGTGTTCAAGTAATTACAGCTGCTAAGAAAGAAACCAACCCAGCTGGAATGTGCAAGGCTAAAGGGAGTCAGGAATTTCGTACCAAGAGCGACAGCGCGGCTGGGCAGAGGTGGCTATGATTGGACATGAAGTCATTTCTAAAGGGCTCATGGTGTTTCTTTCCCTGCCCTACGAGGGCCTCATGATTCTTCTATGGCTGCAGAACAAATATAACTGTGACTTATGTTTCCCAATTTACGGAGCTGATTTCATGTGCTTTCAACAGGAATATGATATTTCTGACAATCACAATTCTTTTAGATACTGTGTGGTGTTTGGAGGGCAAATGTCCCATCTGCCATACGCCCCGTGTGTAGGACCTTCCAGGTATGAAAGACACTCTCATAGAAATGCAAATGGCAGCATGTAGGAAGGCAGAAGCCCGAGCCCCTGGGTTTGCATTCAGTCAATAACCTTCCTGGCAGCCCTGCCAGGGAAGTCAGGGGAAGAGGGAGAGACGGAAAGAAATGCACAAAGCAGAGAGCTCCCTGGTCTGGGCTCTGGATGCCCTGGGGCAGCTCTGGCCCTCTCTGCATGTCGGAAGCCCCCTGAGCCCTTGCTTGCTGCCTCTTGAAGGGGGAGGTGTTGTGGCTGTGTGCTTCCTGCATACCTCTTTCCAAATTTAAGTTCTTGCAATGAACTGAGCAGGAAAACTGGTTGTTTCAACAGTTTGATGATGTTCTAGGCCTTAGATTCAGAGGTAGAATGGGATCACGGGTGTTTGTCTCATTGTTAGGTTAGAAAACAGATCTAAATGTTTCGTATATATTTTGAATTTCTCTAATGATGTACCAAATTGTTTGAGGTATCCAGGGCTGTGAAATCAAATTTCTAAGATCATTCTGGCTGTGGGGACTGCTGCTATGCAGACATCATAGCAGATAGGGTAAGCTGAAGAGCTGCTTAGCATCAGGTGTGCAGCTCACTGCCCCAAGACCAGCAGCAAAGCCCAGGCAGCGGGACACAAGCAGCCAGGTGGAAAGATCACTCACCTGAGGTCATGTCCTAGGTGACTGGCTGCAGCTTGGGCAGAAGGAAGAGTGGGGCCAGCAGAATCAGCAGCAGCTCCTGGATTTAGTTTATAAGTAAAAACAAGCAGTGGGGGAAGAACAGCTGGTGTTGAGTCTGGTGCTGGGATTAGTCTGCAACGCTAATCACAAGAAGTGGAAAAAATTAGGAGGTCCTGCCTGCCAAGGAGGTTTTCAAACACATGCGTGTGTAGCAGTCGCGGCAGGATTAGGCTCTCCCAGTGCCAATGAAGTAGGTGCCCACAGCCACAAGCCAGAGCCCATTCCTGGGCAACACACCGGGAGCCCCAGTTCCACCGACACAACCTGAGAAAGGCCATCACCCTGTGGGAGCCGTGGGTGCCGTGGAGGTGGTATGCCGGGCCATGCTGCCAGAGCTCCTTGGCGATGTCCTGGGAGAAGCCGGGACCAATGGGGAGTGGGAGAGAGAATGTCCCTGGTCCCAGGGGATATAGCAGAGTTGACAGGTGCACTCGATGCTGCCCAGGGCAGAAGAGAATGAGCATGTACTTTATGGGTTTACGTGAGATGCTGTTCAGGACTTCACAAAAGCAAAGATTGAAGCCCAGACAGACAACGGAAGAGAGTGGCACCCCTCTGCAGCACACTGCCACGTGCTTCCACCTTGAGCAGTAGCCTCTCACCGTGGCCTCCTTCCAATAGCAGTTCTCAGAGCACAAGAGCCCCAGGGACTTGGACCTGGGGCTGAGATGGGAAGGCATCCGAGGAGATGAAACAAGCCTCCTGTCTCCCAGAACCAGGCCAGAGCCAGGCCAGTGTGAGACCAACATGAGTGGGACCCTCATAGAGCTGGGAGTGGAAGGAGGTGGAGAAGAAAAGTAGGTGACAGGTCACCAGAAGCCATCATGGACTAGATGGGAGCAGAGGGAGATCCCCAGCTCCAGAGTCACGACAAGGAGTCACCCACTCTACTGCCAGGCCTTCAGGTGAAAGAGACTCCGTTCTCAGCCCTCTCCGGAGAAGACTCAGCAGTCTGCAAGGAGGTCCCTCCCGTCCTGGGTCTTGGACAGGTGCCTGATGGATATTCATGACAAAGCACGGTTCTCGCAGCAGCCGACTGGGCTCATTTAGATTTGGCATGCACGGAGCTGGAAAAGATGCTCAGCCTGTGGCGCTGCTGTTCCCAAGAAGCTTCTCCTTAAGGTCACAGGGAAGCATTCCTGCGGAGGAGCGACGGGGACAGATGTTCCCGAAGTCCTTCTTCGCCTCTCCGAGCTCCCCTAAACCCTCATTTTGGTGTTGCTATTTGCTTCTACAAAATGTGGAGCTTTTCAAAAGACATTCAATTTCCTTTGTTGCTATTCAGTTGCCATAGTCAATTAAAATCTATCAATGCCCCTGAATAAATTTGTGCTAGGTGAAGAAAGAGCCTCGGCACAATCTCTCGACATGATCTCTATTACCTTATGTTACTTTAATAGCTAGAGTAATAGTTTGTTATTAATGGAATTAAGCAATTTAGTTCAAGCTTCCCAGAGGTCTTATAAGACAACTATTATAATTTGTATTCTCAGATTTTCCATTGAGTAGATGCCATGTGTTTTACATTACTTGCTAATGTTTCGAGAGATAGCAGTAGTATATTTAATATCTGGCTTTGTTTAATGATTCTAAACCTCTTTCAATGTAGGTAAGTGCTGCTGGAATTTTGAGCAGTTTAAAAGTCTACACTGTACAAATAATTATCTTGAATATTATTCAGCCCAATTTCAATTTGTACTTCTACTTCTTCATCTATCTATCCTGAAAATTTGACCCCAAATGGGTTTTCCAGTTTTCTCAACAAAAAATGATCTCCTTCCCTCCAGAGAAGGCCAGAGAACAGTGCACATGCTTCAAGTGACCACCCAGACAGACGCACACATGTGCACGCGCACACACACGCACACCGCGCACGCCAATTTAGCATGTTTGAATAGAGTCATATTTAAACTAAGATTTCAAAAATGTTTCTCGATGGTTGCAAAACCTGTTTTTAGAAGAAATAAATGTATTCACTACATTATGAAACAGCTTGAGAAAACAAGATCTTACAATGTACACCATCTCTGTATTTAAATAGTTTCATTTCTATTCATGAGCTCCCTGATTAGATACATGGAAAATATCATCAGTAAAATATGAATAATTCTGACAAATTAATAGCCGATTTTTTAAAAATGAAAATATGTGTAAGCATCTCATTCTCATTAGATAAAGCCGCCATCGGGGCTATATGAAAATCGTGGCCCGCCTAGCCATGGCACAAATCCCTCTTAAGCAGCAAGCAGCAGAGAAAGAACAGCCCCCAGCCTGGGCCCTCCTGGGAGCTGAGCTGGCGGGAAAGGGCAGCATTATTTGCAAGATTGGGTTGGGGCAAACACAGCCTGGTGCTTGCACAAGCGCTCTACTTCGTGCCATTCCACGAGGGAGGCAGGGCAAGGGCGATGGAGCCTCGAAATGTTGCAGCAAGAAAGGACCTTGGAGATCATCTCATCCAACTGCCCATTACGCCCTGGACTATTTCCATGGTTGAAGACCAGGGAAAGATGAACG